ATAGCACAATCTATCAAAATCCTGATACCACAGATTGTCACCATCCTCACCATTGAATCTGAACCTTATAGCGCTGCATTGGAAATTTGGGACACTATCTGCACAATGATTGACAATGGTTTCCCATATCAAAGATGCCTGGGTGTGGCAAAAATGGTCCTTACAAATCACTCCAACTACCAACCCATCCGATGCCCACCACAACAAACATACAATCACCTCTGCACCCTCGCTATAATATAGGATAATCCTACCAATTTAGTGTGTGGCATGCTCTAACCCATAAGTTGTAGTGTGTGAGCCATTTTTTCCAAAAAAATGACTGGTACGGATGGAGGACCTCAAAGCCCACAAGGGGTCAGGTCCTACCTCGGTACCTGACCCCCCTGGCCTCCTCCATCACGAGGGAACGAGGAAAGGACACACACACACACACACACACACACACACACACACACACACACACACATACACACAAATATACACTCCTATTATCCTATACACACATGCCCACCTACAGATATACCAGCATGAATGTCGTACACACGCATACACACAAAATACCCCACTCACCCACCTTGGATTCACACCGCCCAATTTACACGGATATCATAGACACGCGTACACACGCATACCCCGCTTACCTACCATAGGACCCACGCCCCCATCATACACCCACTTGCCGGTCTCACCCCCTCACTGCCAACACCCAACAGTCGCGACCTCACCGTCCCACCACCAATGCCCCACACATCCACAAGGTAGTAAAGACACCTCTACCATACCCTTCACACTCACGCTAACTAATAATTAGATTCCAACCTCTCAGCCAAACAATCAAACACACCCACACACACATGCACCAACCAACAAATACTCATACCAACATCCATGCAAACAACCACACAAACACTTACACACCCACTGCATAATTGAACACGTGAAGGCACAACCGAAATTTCACAAATAAACACTCAAATCAATATAATAGCCCACCCCGTAAACATAAGGTGGCCACACGAAACCAACGCAAAACACCCGGTGCCCCACCCACCAGCCCCAAACTCACACCCCCAAACCACCATACACTGGCACCCGAGGCCCCCCCACCGATCTGCAGCTCGCGCTCTTAGACCCCCCACCTTCTCCCCCCTCTGATGATCCCCAATACCACATGAAAGCAAACTCGCCCACACCGCCGACTTACCTTCCCACAACACCCCACTGATCCTGGCCAAGGGACCCCAAAACAAATGAACCCCCCCAAAAAAACACATGCAGGCCACCACAAAAAACCCACAAATAAAACAAAAACCTTGAGTCCACCATCCAAGAAAAAAACCGCCAGCGATCAACTGTGCCCCCCCACTGACCCTTACCTCAACCCCCCCAGCGAATCGACAAATCCAAGCACTGAATTTAAACCACCAGTACCTCGGCCATACATCGGCCTCGGCGTCTTCCTGTATACGCACCTTGACCCCAGGGCCTCGGGGGCGGTTCGGCAGGTTTATTTATGAAGGCCTAGCGGGCCCAGTAGGGACAAGGCCGGTAGTTGGACAACAGACATAGGTTACGACCGTATGGGCGAGCTGTTTGGATGGACGTTGTCGACAAACCAAAGACGGAAAAAAAAAAAAAAAAAAAAAAAAAAGACAGGCGCTTTCCCGCACCAAGGTGGCCGGTGGGTGCTGCACGTGCGGCCTTGTTCGCCCCGTCTGCCATCGCCCCGCTTCCACGTCCAGCCCGTCGTTTGTTGAGAGAGAGAGAGAGAGAGAGAGAGAGAGAGAGAGAGAGAGGAGGGCGACATCTGTCGATTGGAAAACATGCCGCCGCATGGACACTCGCAGCAAAAAAAACGAGACAGCCTCCGTGAAGGCGGAGGCGGACACGTGGGAAGGGGACACGTCCCAAAGTCGAAAAAGTTGCGTGTGGAAAGGACGGAGGGCGTGATGGGGGTTGAGCGGGGGGAGTAGGGATCGCCCATGGAGGAGCATTCCATGGAGACGCTGACACTGGGGTATGATGTACCAAGGAAGCAGTTCCTCGCACTTGCCGGGGTTGGCGCGCGAGGAACGGCGCATGTCGGTGGTAGTGGAAGCTTGCGCTCGCAAGGGACTGCCATCACTGAATAGGGAGTTCAAAGACCTGTCATTCCAGCGGTGACAGTGGTGGCCACAGCTGGACGCGGCGACGAAACACCTGTCCAGGCCGTGCAAAGTCGCCGAGTCGATCCGTCGAATAATGTAGTCGGGTCATCGGGCAGGGTGCTTCATGGCAAGCGCGGCTGTCCACGGCGCCGCCAGCGCGGAGGGGAAAAGGCGAGAAGAGGGGACGCGCGAGGAGGCGGGAAGGAAAGAGCAGACAACGGACCGTACTCCGGTGGCCGTCGCGCCGTCGACGAGTCTCTAGCGAAGAGGAAGAAAAAATTGCGGCAGGAGGACGACTTGGACGCAAAGTCCAAGCTATGAACGGACAGAAAGACATTCTGGGGGGGCAAGACCTGGTCGCCTAATCGCCGAAGCTGTGCACTCTTGCGCAGACTACTATTGCGTGATCGTGAAACCGAACGCTAGCGCTAGCGCTCCCGTAGGCCTAATCATGCCAACGAATGACGTCCCACGCTTCCGGATCGAAGATCCAGCGCAGCGCAATCCAGCTCTTCTTAGGGCAAGAAGAATGGAGAGCATGGTCATGCGCGTGATCCACAGGTGGATATTCAGGTCCCCTTCCAGAGCCGATGGTTTCGCCCGCACGGAGTCATATGTGTGAGTGGACTACGCGACGGATCTGGCGAAAGCAGTGTGGTAGTCCCTGTAGTGGTCGAGGGTGGTTTCTCCCAGCGTTGCTTATCACACACTCGCCCTCAAGATGGACATTTCGTTGTGGTATGTCGGGGCGTACATCCACAACAGACTGGAGGATGATGACATGACTGCCCTTCAGGAGTCGACGATCTTGCATTTGGCGTCCTGCTTCCAAGATGCACTCCGTGGCGGTCAGTGGTCTGAGAACAGGAAGATGTCCTAGTCCAGGCTGAATAGAATCGGGGACGCCTTCTGCCTTCTTCTCGCCGCCAACATGTGGATCATGCGCATGGGTGGCGACGACGCCCGTTCTCACTACGAGGCGTCGTACTACTCGCAGCTTGTCGTGAAGCCAACACTGCTGGAGGTGGGGTCGCAGGCATTCGACTGGTGCAGACGTATTGTCGACTCCGCGATGCTGTATTGTGCCGTCTTGGGAAGCCGCCCGTGACGTTGAGTACATTTCCCAACTACATCCCCGAGTGGGCGACTTGCGTAATCAGCTTCAAACACAATGCCGGTTTGGCGGACCCTGACGTGGCGGCAAGGATGGATTGGTTGGGGACTGGACCTCTCGCCGACGAAACAAAGGACGACGGGGACGATGGCAATGGAGGGCCGTGAGAATCGTCGTAGTGCCACCTCCTCGCCTTGTCCGCGTGCGGAGCGCAATGTCCCTTAGTTGATGGTGCCACGTCCGTCATCCTTCGTCCGCACACACACATAGAGAGAGAGAGAGAGAGAGAGAGAGAGAGAGAGAGAGAGAGAGAG